CTACACTCTTCCTCATCATGACTTTTCTGATGACTCAATAGTTGACCTCTGGTGTGGAGCTGGAATGCAGTGCTACTGAACCCCTCCCCATGATCTCACTGCAGAAGGTAATAAATGGTAACCACTAATCTGCAGGGTCCACACAGGAGCAAGGAGCAGGCAGATGGGATGACTCAGTCACATAACTCTCGAATATCCCAGGAGACAGGACATACAGCAGCAAGAGCCTGAGGGATCATAGGATGATACCAGAGATAGTAAAGCAAGTCACTCCAGAAGGACAGACACGTCAGAAACTTGGTGATGAAAGTAGAAAATTGGAAGGTCTCTGACTGAGCCAGAAGGCAGGTTCCGGTTATGGAGGAGGGGAAGAGAATGAATTGGAAGCAAACATTGGCATCAAATGCAGAAAATGAAGTGAAAGGCTAAGCCCAAGGCACTTTGTTAATCACTGCAGGCTGGGCTCTGACCTGTGAGCACTCCACTTTGGCCAGTCTTTAAGGAACCACCCTCCACTCCTGCTGCCTGGTACGCAGAGTATGCGACAGTGGCATCGAAGCACACTCGAAGAAGCCCTGCACCTGTCTTGGTGGCAAAGCACTCGATTGAAAACCACTTTCTGTTTTCTGTGACACATTTACTTAAAGGCACATCTCTGTGCCCAAAGGGCCCAAGTTGGTAGCATTTCAGGTCTTTTATTACTTTTTTTTATTTGACTACTGCAGACTAAAAATCATTATACATAAAGGGTGAAACAAAATCTCTCTTCATTTAACGGATATGTCTCTCTCTCTCATCTTTAACATAATGGGAGGAATTACTCAGCAATCATATTCCTGATAAGCCTTTTCATACTACGACATCGGTTTACGGTGTTACCCCATTGCACATAAGCTGCGGCGTCTTTCATTTCAGTGAGTTCACAGGAGATGAGAAACATGAGGAGGAGGTGGCTGTCCTGTGGCCTCCAGGAAGTCACTGCTCTATCCAGGATAGTGACCTGGAAGCTTCTTCAAGTGGTGGTGGAACTTGTGGCAGTGACCTCGGCTCTTCACTTCACCTCTCCGACCTTCAGGTTTTGCCTAATAAAAGAGAGACTATCTTGCCTTCTGAGCAGATTCAGAGAGGATTAACTGAGGTAACATACACATATCAATAAAATGGTGAGAGCAGAAGTATTGTTTCAGCTAGGATGTCACTTCTGGGAGGCCTGGGTGTGGTGGGAGAGGGAGAGGGAAACTGAGAGACAAGAAGTTGCAGAGCCTCCCTGGCAGGCTCAGGCCTGTATTCCCTACCCACTGTGGACTCTGTGAGTCTCTCATTGAGTAGCATGGGCGAGCCAATCTGCCGTTCACGGTGTGCTGTGAACTCAGAATTCCATATGTAATAGGATGTAAGTCTAAGTATTTCATGTGGGCATAAATGTATCTAAATAAAACTTTCCCTAGCACTGTGGCTGACCTCACCTTCACTTTAATACTTCAGTATGAAACTGAGGAGAACTTTGGTAGCATTCTTTAAATATATATAAATAGATAGGTACCTATTTACCTAGATCTAGCTCAAGTATTTTTCAGGTCTTTATGTTTGGCTTTCTTAAAGCCCTGTCATAAAAAATTTCTATGTGGATGGCAGTCTCTCACATTACATATGTGGAAAGTATGATTTTATATTTGCATTTTCAAATAGATAAGTATGTGAAATGTTTCCATCTTCTACAATGGTCCAGAAATCAATGTTTTTGTCTGATGCACAAATAAAATAAGCTGTTTTAGGGAAAAAAAAATAAGTGGTTAGAGCAATGCTTGGTTCACTGAAAATAAAAGATAATTATTGGGAGGGGCAGCAGGTGGTGTGGGGTTAAGGTGCTGGACTCCCGCATAGCCGACTGCCTTTTGAGTCCGAGACCCGGTGATTTGCTTTCTCACTTTCCCTCTCCATCATTGTCTCTCTATGGGGAGTGTATGTGCCCTGTAGAACATAAAATGATAATAAGAAGAATGAATATAATAAAATAAATAATTCTAGAATAAAGGTAATTACAGCTTTTCAATTATTGAGATTACATGTGTGTTTGGTTAACGGTGACAGATTACATTTGTCTGGAGAGTAGCATTCTTTCTTTTATAAAACATGTTTTTATTTATGACAAATCATGTCTGCATGCATGTGAGTGTGAAGAAGAGAGACACACCTTCTACAAGGTCTGGTCATACCGTGGTCACCCTCCTCCAGTCTATTGGATCTTGGGCACTTACCGGTATTCCTTGCACGTTTCAGATGGATCAAGCTAAGGATAGAACCACTGACGCCGTGTGGAATCCACCTTCTCCTGAGCAACACCTCACTGCTCTGCTACAAAGCAGGACCTGGAGGGGAGCATTCTAAACTGATGCACTGTGGCAGGAATAAAAATATGAAAGAGCTTTTTAATTTTCTTCCTTCCTTCTTTTCTTCCTTCCTCTTTCTTTCTTCCTTCCTTCCTCCCTCCCTTCTTTTCTCTTTCTCTTTCTCTTTCTCTCTCTCTCTCTCTCTCTCCTTCCCTTCCTTCCTTCCTTCCTTCTTTTTCTTTCTTTCTTTCTTTCTTTCTTTCTTTCTTTCTTTCTTTCTTTCTTTCTTTCTTTCTTTCTTTCTTTCTTTCTTTCTCTCTCTCTCTTCCTCTTTCTTCCTTTCTTTCTTTCTGTTTTGACAGTCTTGCTGTCATGATCCTCCTGCCTCAGCCTCTAAATTAGGATTACATGCCCCACAAATATGGGGCCCACTCCTGGCTTTTAGGCTGGACTGGGTATCATACCCAGGCTTTCAATGTGATCCCAGGCTGTGAAGCATAGCATCTTTGCCATGCCACAATTGGGCTGAATATATTACATTTTTAAAATATTGATTTCCTAGGGCCAGCTGGTTGCATAATGTTTACATTGCTGTACTCCCACATAGTCAACCATGGTTCGAGTCCCAGACCAGCCAGCTTAAAACTCACACTGAGTATGTGAGTGTGCATGCCCAAGATCCTGGGAGGAGAATGGAGGAAAAGGGACTGTGGAATGGCCATTCATCCTGGAGAGTGATTTCTCGCTTTCCGTCTCTGTCTCTCTGACAAGCACACACACATTATGGCAAAAATCTCTCTTTAAAAAGAGAAAATATTTCTGGAGCCAGGCAATAGCACATTGGTAAGTCAACTGGACCCAACCAGGGAAGTTCTGGGTTCACATTCTAGGGATATCTGTCACTCTATCTCTTATGGGAAAAAAAGTGATTTATTTATTATAAATAAAATAATGTTGATTTTACAATACCGTAGGCCAACACAACCTCTTTACAGCCAGTGCGGAGAAAGGAGAGCATGCCATGTGCCAGGTTTTGTACTGGTCACTTTCATCTGTGATATGCCATCTGTCTCAGTCTGCTCGGGGCTGCTGTAACAAAACTATGATAAGCCGGGTGGCTGATGAACAAAGAAAATGTATTTCTTACAGTTCTGGAGACCTGGAAGGGTCAGCAGATTTACTATCTCATGAGATCCCACTTCCTGGTGCATAGATTGTATCTCTCTGTATCCTTGTATGGCAGAGGGCTAAGGGAGCACTCTGCAATCTCTTTGGTTTTGTTTCTATTGGACATTTCTTCCATGAATGACAGAGAGAGAGAGAGAAGCATCCTTAGCAGGATCTCACACCACAGTGCTCTTCCCAACTTGTCCCAGACAGCTAGAATCTTGGGCCTTTGAGTATATTTGGTGTGTCCACGTTTACCCAGGAATAAACCCTGACCTTCCATATGACTTTCAGCTATTGCTGCACCACTGTGGCTGGGTCTTGGGTCTCCTTCATAAGTCACTAATACCACTCACGAGGGCTGTACCCTCATCTACCCTCATGATCTGATGACCTCATATAAGTCCAACCTACTAATATATTCACCTCGGGGGTTAGAATTTGGAGTATGGATTTGAGGGGCACAAACTTCCAGTTCATAGCCCTATAATATCTCTAGAAGAACATTTTGGGGTTATTCTGCTGCATGTATAATTTTTCCCTCAGAGATCTTTGATTCTCTGGAGGTATGGGCCCTGACCCATTCATTCTGTATTTCCAGCATCTATCCCTATGTTCATTCAATCTAGTGAGGTAGCCAGCTAACATTTACTTGTAGTTTTTGTTTGTTGATTTATTTTGGCTTTTTAATGACAACATCTATTCTGATTAAGTAGCACCCATATCTTAATCGTTGCTAAATGGTTTAAGTGCTAATACTGGTTAGGTATGTAGTAAGGGTTGAATGAATTCATTTTATCCTCACAGTTCTCGTGAAGTTAATATTATTACTTCAATTTGCAGATAAGGAAACTGATGCTCAGAGAAGACTTATGCAACTTTTACATTCTTTCAGAGTGTAGGAGGGAGTCAGGATTTAAAAGCAGTGTTGTCTAGTCCAAAGCCCAAATGCTTTCTCTATTTTGTGTTGCCAGATATGAATCTTTAATTTTGTAAACAGTCTGGTATTGAATATTTGGGGAATTTTATAACTCAAGTCTTATTTTAAAACTTCAGATCATACAAAAAAGAAAGGCCAGATGGATCTGTTCGTAGAGCCTAATTTATATTTTTATTAACTGGCAGTTAGACAAGAGTAAAACTTTCAAGATGTGTTCAGGCAAAATGCACCCTAATTCACAAAGTGTAAGGCATCCACAAGCATTAAAAGAGAAAAGAAAAGAAATCACAGAATCAGTATCAAAGTAAAATTAACTCACCTCCTTTTAAGATTCTGTGCTTGGGCTAGTTCCATAGTGCAGTGGCTAGGTTCCGTGCAGAGTCAAAATGGCTAACCATGGTTAGAATCCTGGCCCCAGTGGCTTAAACCCTCAAGAGGCTGGTTTAGTAGCTTAGTCATTAAGGAAGCCAAATTCCACATGGTTGATCATGTAGTTCAAATTACCACCTCAGCAGCTTGAAAAACATACTAGAGACATGTGCGTGCATGCCCCAAATCCTGACAGGATGGGGAAATAGAGGAAATGGATTGTGGCACGATCAGGCCCCATGTGGAATGCTGGCTCCCTCTCTGGCAATTTAATAAAAAATATTCAGAGCTATAAGATTTGCATATACACAATGAAAACTATAAAGCTGGCAAATGTTTTATACCATGTGTTTTGGTCTCAATGTGCTCCCCCAAATTATATGTTAAATCACTGCTCCCAGTGTGACTATATTTGAAGATGGAGCAGCTAAGAAGTAATGAAATATACATGAGGTCATAAGAGTAGGGCCCATCTGATAGGATTAATGTAATTTAAAGAGGGGATATCAGAGAGCTAGCATCCACACGCTTTGTACTACCCCTCCACATGCAGACAACAAGGAAAAGCCACAAGAGGACATAGCAAGGAAGTAGCTATCTCCAAGCCAGGAAGCTGGCCCATACCAGAAACAAATCAACCTTGCTGGTACCTTGGTCTCTGACTTACAGCCTCCACAACTGTGAGAAAATAAATTTAAACTACCCAGTCTGTACTATTTTGCTATGGGCACCTGAGCTAATACACAGCTAAAACATCTTTTTGCAAAGAAAGCTTCATTGAGCCAAAACCAAGACAAACTTGGTTGATCTGTAGCACAGGTCCTGGTTGTCTTAGTCTGTTGGGACTGCTATAGTATCATATCTTAGACTGGGTAATTCATAAATAATAGAAATGTACTGCACATAGTTCTGAAAAGTTCAAATCAAGGTACTGGAAGATCTGGTGTCTGATGAAGTCCCATTTCTCAAGAATGGCACCTTCTCCATGTCTTTGCATTGTGGAAGGAGCAAGAGCTCGCCTTACATCACTTCCATAAGTGCACTAATCCCATTCATAAGGATGGTGCCCTTGAGACTCAGCTCCTAAACATACCACCTCTTAATACTGCTGCATTAGGTATTTGGCTCCAACATTGGATTTTTTAGGTGAGGGGAGAAAATATTCAGACTATATAGCACTGAGTAAGAATGAGCAGTTATCAGATGACCTATGCTTGTGCTACAAAATAAATATTGACAGTATGTAAATACTTATGGGCCCAAGATTGTGTAACCAATTTGTAAGAAAAGAGTGTTAAGCATGTTTACAGGGCATGCTAGTCTTAATTAAATTTTTTTCAGTATGTTTATGAGCCAATAAATTGTTCATTTCTTACTGTTGCCTTAAGATCACAGGAACAAATAAGAAGACTTACAATATTTTATTGCTAGTTGGAACTTTTAAGGGGTTTATTACTTGATATACTCAATTCTAACTGGTGCAAAGTGTGAGGAAGTTTGAATCTCAATCCACCTTCACTATAGACAGAAAGTCTGGGGATGGTCCTTGGTAAACATAGTTTTTAGTTCCCTAGATTATTATAGTGCATAGCCAAGGTTCTCTGACACACTAAAAACTGTGTTTCTTACTAATACCACGTTCTTTATACCTGTAGACCTTGTCACATGCTCCCTCTCTGCTTGGAATGCAACATTCTTTTTCATTCTTTAAATTCTCTTTTTTACACCACGCACTACTGTGGCACCAAATGTTTCCTCTGGTCTAAAGAATCAGTTTTTTAAATTTTTTTTAGAAAAATTTGCTTTGGGACCAGCAGTTAGCATAATGTCTATGTCGCTGGACTCCCATGTAGTCGACCGCAGTTCAAGTCCCGGACCCGGTGGCTTAAACTCACGCCAGGCGCATGTGCGTGCATGCCCAAGATCCCTAGAAGAGAATGGAGGAGAAGGGACTGCGGCATGGCTATCCCCACTGGGGGGTGATTTCTCGCTTTCTATCTCTCTGTCTCTCTCTGTCTGTCTGGCGAGCGCATGTGCCCAATAGCAAAACCCTCTCCAATAAATAAATAAATAAATAAAATTTTTCTTTTTTTTATTTTTGTTTATTTATTTATTTATTTATTTATTTATACATTCAATCACTGTATATCATTACGGCTTGCAAAATGAATTTCCCAGCATGAATATATTGTAGATTAGTCCAGTTAAAGACAGAATCATACATGTTATCATCAACAGATCATTTTTCATTATTGTGCCCTTTAAATATTTTGTTTCTTTCTTTTCCTCTTGATTCCCTTGAAAGATAGTCATAGTCTCACAGAGGGCAGAGAACATGCCAGGTGCCTGCTTCATTCCAGCCACAGGTATGGAATCATGCCCACATTAAGAGTAAGCAAATAAATAGGTATTTGGCTTTAGATGAATTAGTTCAGCTATCTGACTCTGTTAATCCATCTATAAAGAACTCTTCTACTAATTTTGACATCCAAGAATTCAACATAAATAAACTTTTGTGTTGGGATATTAAAGCATATAGTGATAGCTTCACTGAAGTTTTGGAAAATTATTCCATTAAAAAGGTGTTAAAATGTGCACTCATTTCAACAAAGAAACTAACATCTACCTGGATGCTGACAGCACGGGGACACTGAGGGACATGAGCATTTAGGCAATGACTCTCAGATCAAGGGGAGACCTGTGAGAAGCATGAATATCTATCCCCTGCCTGTCAGGAGAGAAGACCACAAAGGAAGAGCTTTGGTGGAGGCTGGGCTTTCACATGATTTTGCCTCCTGTCTGGCTCACTTGCAGTAAAGATCATTTACTATCTAGAATTATTTCATTATCCTTGTCTACTCTTGTCAACAAACTATAAGTCAAGCCATTTATGAAACAAATATAGTTAATGAGATAAGCAGGAAATCAGGAATCTACAAAGCCATTCATGTTTACCATAATGAATTTTGCTGATTATAAAGCCCTAGCAGACTTGTTAGTGTCTTCTTTATTAATCCTGCTCTTGGAGTTCATCTTAGGTTTTTTCCTTTGCCCTCTGGTGAAAAAAGAAATCTGGGAATGTGTCTGCAATGATACTAAGCAGGATTTCCACAATCATAAAATGTCATAGCTGGAAGGAATCTCAGTACACGGCCTATACCTTTACATTATAGATGGGTTACTTCATTAATACGTAAATTTTTTAACGAATGATTTCCTGTCCAGTGTTCTTCTAAATACAATGGTATCTATGGTAATTCCTCTTTCTTACCCTGATAAAATTTCTGTCTCTCAACTGCATGTACCCTCCAAGACTTCTTTGCACTGACTTCTTAGGTCTGTGCTTCTCCACTGGCTCCTCCTTCCTTTCTGTTTGCAAAAACATACAAGTTTTCTTCCTTACCAAATCTACTTGAAGTAAAAACTTTCTTTTCTTGATTACAGAGTGGCTATAAAAAATTATTCAGACCTCTGGCCCCACAATTCAAGACAAAATAGGACAAAATGCAGTAACAAAGAGCACCAAAATCTGAGTGGCACAATACCAAGTCAGCTAGTGGTCCAGGAGGTGTTCCAGAGCGTGACCTCCATGATGGTTTAGAAGTATACTCCCTCTCACCACTGCACATTGCACCACTGCAGTGCAAGAGAAAGCTGGCGAGTTAAACTCTGGCAACTAAACACTTTCAGCCCATTTCTGTTCAACACCAGACAAGAGGAGGTTAAGAGTGACCAGATGTCCAACAGTTCTTGGAACTGAATTTTCCCCACATCTTAAAAATAGGATAGCCTTGGGACTAGAAGGTGGCATAATTGTTTATGTTGCTGGACTTCACATGGCCTGCCGTGGTTCAAGCCCTAGACGCAGAGGCCTAAAACTCTTGCCAAGTGCATGTGCATGTATGTCCAGAATTCCAAGAGGAGATTGGAGGAGAAGGGTATGTGGCATGGTCATGCCCTCTGGGGGGGGGGGGGGGCGGGGGAGCGATTTCTTGCTTTCTGTCTGTCTCTGTCTCTTTCTCTGATGAGTGCATGTACCTTATACCAAAAATCTTTCTCTGAAACAAACAAACGAAACAGCACTGTCTTAGGCAAATGAGAAAGGTTAGTCATCCTAGGGGAAATGAGTATTGGTGAATGGTAAAAACATCTGCCACAGCCGCTATGCAAGATAGCTAAAACTTCCTGAGGTGCAGTAACTTTGTGTAAAAAAATGAGAACGATACTGATCTCATAGCTGGTTGTGATGCACACATGATATCATATTGTATTATCTGACTGAAAGAGAGATCTTAAGGAATTAGCTAACACAACTGCGGAACTCAGAAGCTCAAAATCTGCAGGGCAGAGTGGTAGGTTGGAAATTTTGTTGAGGTAATATTTCCAATGCTGTAGTCTTGAATCTGGAATCAGAATTATCCCTGCTTAAAGAAATTTACTTTCTCTTAAGTCCTTCAACTGATCAGATGGGACCAACCTATGTTGTGGAGGATAATCTGCTTTATTCAAAGTCTACTGATTTAAATGTCAATTGTACCAAAAAACTTCACAGCAACATTTAGACTGGTGTTTAACCACACAACAGGGCCCTATAGCCTACCCAAACTGATATAAAATTAACCATGACACATGCATACCAAATCCTTAGCACACATGAACTTTTAGTAAGTGTTCAATATATGTTAGAATCTTCTCTTGACTTTCTCTTCTCAGTACTTATGAATTTTCTTTATTATAGGCAGGCACTGATTTAAAAAAAAATTAAACACATCCTTCAAAAATACTGTGGAGTGGGACCAGCAGTTAGCATAATGGCTATGTGGCTGAACTCCCATGTAGTCAACAACGGTTCAAGTCCTGGACCCGGTGGCTTAAACTCACGCTGGGTGCATGTGCGTGTGTGTCAAGATCCTGAGAGGAGAATGGAGGAGAAGGGATTGCAGCATGGCCAACCCCCGTGGGGGTTGATTTCTCGCTTTCTGTCTCTCCGTGTCTCCGTGTTTCT